GCCTTAAGTGTTAGATAAGCCGGTCTAGCTGACCCACAAGCTTCGGAAATTCTCTTTCCACATCTTATTTTAGAAGCACTGAGATTATAGACATGGATGACCACACCCAGGTTTACATGGGTTCTGGGGATCCGAACTCTACTCTTCATGCTTGCGTGACAAACACTTTTACACACAGAGTCATCTCCCAGCCCCACTTCCTTTTTTATCGAGGTAAGTTCTCACTCTGTAGCCTAGGCTGACTTGTATCTCACTATGACGTAGCCCAGTCTGGCCTTGAACTCACAGAGATCCACCAGCTTCTGCCTCCCAATTGCTGGGATTAAGGCGTGCTGGATTTATTTATTTTTATTGCATGTGTATGAGTGTTTTGCTTGCATGTACGTGAGTGCACCCATGTTGTGCAATGTCCGCAGGAGCCAGAAGAGGGTATTGGATCTCCTGGATCTGCAGTTATGGATGACTGTTAGCTGCCATGTGGGTGTTGGGAACCAAACCCAGGACTTCTGCAAGAGCAGCCAGTGCTCTTAACTGTTGAGCCATCTCTCTAGCCACTATGCAATGTATCACGATCATATCCATCACCTACTCTCTCCCTCCAGTTCCAATGGAATCCCAGTGTTCCCCACTCTCATATCTCCCTCCTAACTTTATGTCTTATTTTTTTATTACTTTTGTAGCTCATTGAGTCCAATTAGTAGATGTTTAGACTTATTCTTAAGTGATGACTGAGAAATATCTTGTCTCCTTCTGCCAGAGTTTGGAGAGTTTGGTGCAAGGTTTGGCATGTATCTACCCTGTTTCTGTATATCATCAGAGAGAGAGAGAGAGAGAGAGAGAGAGAGAGAGAGAGAGAGATTCTACATTCTACAGTGGAAGGAGAGAACAGACTCCTGAAAGTTGTCCTTTGAGCTCCACATATGTTCTGGTACAGACATGCCCCCCAATAATAAATAAAAATAAAAATTCAAAAATACCATAATATTAGAAAAAGAGAGAAAGAAAAAAGAAAAATAGTAAAGAAAGAAAGCAAATGTTAAAATGTTGTGCAGAGCCAGGCACATGCCTTTAATCCCAGCACTTGGGAGGCAGAGGCAGGTAGATCTCTGTGGGATCAAGGCCAGCCTGGTTTACCTAGCAAGTTTCAGGCCAGCTGGAGCTTTAGGGAGACCCTGTCTCAAAAAGTTCAAAAACTAACAAAACATAAAGTTGAGGAGAGGACAAGCAAGCCTTGCACAGGAGTTGATTCCAGGTTTGGTTCAGCCACTAGTGAGCCATATCATCCTGGGTAAGCCTTCTTCTCCATCTGTGAAACAAGAAAATTATAGCCCTGGAATTCTCTTCATTGTGCTATTTCTTCTACAAAAATATAAGCTCCGTTTAGGCAGTGCTATCTGCCTTGTCTAGGCCCAAATCTTAGAGTAACTCCTGGTACCCCAAAGATGCTCATGTTTGTTGATAGGGAATAACCGATCTAGTTGCTGATCCTCAGATGGGCTTTCTGACCTACAGAGCCTTAGCCGTTTTGCACAGTGCCTTCACGAAGTAGACAGTCAGCACTCACTGGTCTGAAATACCTCGTTTGGTTCTCAAGGGGGCACACCTGAATTACTGGTTCAGCAATATGAGCACAGAAAAGCTTTGTGGAGGGGAAGGACTGGCCTAGAGTCAGAAAACCTGGCCCATCCTGCTGACTACTGAGTCGTCAGTCATTGTGTGGTCATCCATTTCTTCAAGATTCTGCTTCTCCTCTGCAAGGCAGGGAGGCTGTGCTAGACCTCCTGGCAACCGTCTCTGACTTTGGTCCTATTATACCTATTACATATAATGAGTTGAGAATGAAACCATTGCGATGGTGTGGCATTAGACTTGAAGGTGAGGTAGTGAGACGCAGCGGCTCATCAGAGACACTGAGGTGGGCAGACTGCCTTTCATGATCACCACTTGACGTCCTTTATGAGCATCAGCTGTTACTGGATCATCAAAGCGGGGCATCGTCTGTTGCCCTATTAGCTTTAGCTGTCCTGAGGGGGGGGCAGCACTATGGGAGGTCACCTCCCAGGTTGCAGGCCATGGGAATGCCTATGTTATTTGTATTGCCCAGGTGTGGTGGCTGTGAGGCGTCTGCTATAATTTTATAGAAGATTCTGGATCTATCAAAATTTGGCTTCCTTCCTTCCTTCCTTCCTTCCTTCCTTCCTTCCTTCCTTCCTTCCCCTCTTTCATCTCTCCTTCTTTCCTTCCCTTCCTCCCTTTCTTTGAAAAAAATTTTATTTTTTTATTTTTTTATGTGTATGAGTGTATTGCCTGCATGTAGGTAGGTATACCTGTGTTGTGCAGTGCCCATGGAGGTCAGAAAAGGGTGTCAGATCCCCTGGAACTGGAGTTACGGATGGTTGTTGTCTGCCATGTGGGTGCTGGGAACCAAACCCAGTCCTCTGCAAGAGCAGCCAGTGCTCTTAACCACTGAGCCATTGCTCAGTCCCTCCGAATTCTTTTTGACAGTGCTGGGAACTGGACCCAGGGCCTAATGCATGCTGGAGGAGTGCTCTACTATGGAGCTATGCTCCTGTTCTTTTTAGGTTTCTTTATGAAAAATGACTATCTCACACCCCATCAGGATGGACCTGAGAAATAACAAGTGTGGCAAGGGTGTGGAGATACTGGAACTTTTTCTTCATTATCGATGGGCATGTAAAATGGAATAGCCACAAATGAAAAACAATAGGAAGTTTCCCTCAAAAATTCAAAATGCGGCTGGCAAGATGGTTCAGTGGGCAAAGGTGCCCACAGCCAAACCTGGCAACCTGAGTTCAATCCCGGGACCTACATAGTGGAAGGAGAGAAATGACTGCCAAAAATTGTTCTCTGATTTCCACAAAGGCACCTCCCCGCCCAAAATAAATAAAAATGGAATTACAGAATGGTCCAGCAATCTCTTTTGGGGTATATCTCCAAAAGATGTGAAAGGATTTAAAGAGCTATTCCTGTAGCCATCTATAACATTATTCACAGAGGCTGCAGTTGGAACAACCCATATGTCCAGTGACAGATTTCCTATATTTAAAGAAAATGTGGTATATGCTTGCGAAAAATATCATTTAGCTCTCAAATAGAAGGGAATCCTCTGGCAGCAGAGACAGAAGGATTAGGGTGAATTTGAGGTTAGCCTGGGCTACACAGTGAGTGTGTATAGCCAGTGAGCCTGGGCTATATGGGAAGACACTGTCTCAGAAGACAAACAGGGTTGGGAAGATGGGTAAAGTGGGAAAGAGTTTGCTATGTAAGCATGAGGACCTGAGTTTGGATCCCCAGAACCCACATAAAAACTGGACATAGCTGCACACGTCTGCAATCTCAGTGTGCTCCTATGGGGAGATGGGAAGCAGAGACAGGATACCCAGAAGCTTGTGGGCCAGCCAGCCTGATGTACACGGCAGCAAGCAGGGACCCTGCCTCAAGTAAAGTGGAAAGTGAGGACTGACACCGAGGTTGTCCTCTGACCTTTACATGTGTGCCATGTAAAGGCACACACCACACACACACTCATTTTATACACACAGCATACAAACACACGCATAAACACAAGCAAGCAAACAAACAAAACCTCAAGAAACAAAAAAGAGAAATCATGTTACAAACCCAACACCGGAGGCTGGAGAGATGGCTCAGTGGTTAAGAGCACTTGTTGCTTTTACAAAAGACCAGGACTCAATTCCCAGCACCCACTTTAGGCAGCTCATAACTACATGGAACTCTACTTCCAGGGGTCTGACACTCTCTTTAGCCTCTAAAGGCTCTGCATGTATGTGGTGCACATATGAAGTAGACACATACACATACATATACATAAAATTAATAATTTCTTAAAAACATCAAAAACCACAACATGGATAGACCTTGAGAATATTATGCTAAGGAAAATCAGTCATCACAAAAAGACTGACACTATATGTAGTATGGTTCTATTATACGCAGCATCTAAAGTTGTCATACCTGGGACTGGAGAGATGGCTCCGAGGTTAAGAGCACTGGCTGCTCTTGTAGAGGACCCAGGTTTGGTTCCCAGTACTCACACGGTGGGTTGGTGGGTAACAATTGTCCATAACTCCAGTTCCAGGCGATCTGACACCCTCTTCTGGCCTCTGTGGGCATTGTGTGCACTTATATACATGCAAGTTTAATACTCATGACGATAGATAAATAAATAAAAATTAAAAACAAAGTTGTCATGGGTGTGGTGGCACACGCCTTTAATCCCAGCATTCGGGATGCAGAGGCAGGTGGATCTCTCTGTGAGTACGAGGCCAACCTGGTCTCCATAGTGAGTTCCAGGACAGCTGGGGCTACAGGGAGACCCTGTCTTGAAAAGACCAAAAAAAAAAAAAAAAAAAAAACCAAAAACAAAGTTGTCAAGCTCACAGAAACAAAAAGTAAAATGGTCAGAGGCAGGGAAGAGGGGAAGGGGGTTAGGGAGTCTGGGTGCGTGTTGGGTAGGGGAATTGTTGCTCAGTGGGTATAGAATTTCAGCTTTGCCAAACGAAAAAGCTCTAGGGACCTTTTAAATATACCACTGTGAATGCAGTTAGTACCATTGAACTGAACTTTTTGTTATTTTGGGAGACAGGATCTCCTGCAGCCCAGCTTGGCCTGGAATTTGCTATATAGTCAAGGATGATTTTAAACGTCTGATCATCCGGCCTCCAGACCACAGGTGTTATGATTCCAGACATGTGTCACTGTGCTAGGATAACTCTTGAACAAGGTTAAGATGGTAACATTTATTATGCATGCTTTTAAAACATGACTAAAAACTATTACCGAAAGGTGCAATCCAGTAGCAAGTTGCTACTAACGTCTACACTTTGTCACATTAGAATAACCCTCATTTCTTCATACTGACGTATTTATTTCAGCCCGATGAATAAGAGACACCAATTCTTCTGCATTGCTAAGAAAGGAAATTTTTTAGTGACATAAATGAAGAAGACACAGTAAAAGGCGACAGCAAGATTGTAATGGTGTATGGCAAAGAGTCTTCAGAGGCAGGGTCCAGAAGGGTGGAAAGGATTAGGAAACAGAGGAAGGGATAGGATGGGTACTTCATCGACAGCATGGCTGGTGAGCTCTCCCAGGCCTCTCAGGGCTGTGTTGAGCCCGGCTGGTCTTCTGGGTTCTCTCCACTCATGTTTCCTGTAGCTTTATAATCCTGCATCTTGCTGTGGGCTCAGTGTAGCTCGTGGGATGAGATACTCCTGTGTAGAATCAACAGTCTGGAAAGAAAGAAATTGTGTTACCAGCTTTCTGAGCCAATTATGATCACCTCGTTATTTAATTCTTTGCTAATTGAAAAAAAATCTAACACATTCTTCTTTCATTTCTGTTGCTGTGATTAAATATCCTGACAAAAGCAACTTTAGGGAAAAAAGGGCTTATTTTAACTTACAATTCCAGGTATAGTCTATTATTATTATTATTATTATTATTATTATTATTATTATTAATGAGACAGGGTCTCCCTGTAGCCCCAGCTGGCCTGGAACTCACTCTGTAGACCCAGCTGGCTTAAACTCACACCTGTCCCTGTCTCCTGAGTGCTGGGATCAAAGGTGTGTGCTACCATGCCCGGCTAGTCCATTATTTTAAAGACTTCAAGGTGAGTGGGAACGAAACAGCTTAGTCACGTCACAGCCACAGCCACAGTCAAAGGCAGAGGAAGACGAATGTGTGCATGCTTACTGCCTTCTTGCTTGTGCTCAGCTTGACTGCTCCTCTTTTGCACAGTTTAGGGAATGGTGCTGCCCACAGTGGACTGCATCGTCCCACATCAATTAGCAAAGGACATGTACTAGGTGCACTAGGTACTAGTCTGTCATTCTAGGAAAACGTAAATTCTTAGTAACAGACCAGAGGGCTGACCTTCGCCGGTTCAATGAGCAAATGATTTGAGTGTGACTTTTTTTTTTTTGTTCTTTTTGAGACAGGGTCTCCCTGTAGCCCCAGCTGTCCTGAAACTCACTATGTGGACCAGGCTGGCCTTGAACTCACAGAGATCCACCTGCCTCTGCCTCTTGAGTGCTGGGCTTAAAGGCGTGCGCCACCATGCCTGGCCTCAGTATGACTTTTACTTCTGGAGTTCAGTTGCTTCGGATCCGTATAATGCAAGAATTACTTCCCAATGTGGTATTTTTGGCTCTCAGGATCCAAAAGTCTTCAAGCTATCCCAGCACAGCGCATTACATCCAATGTATTCAATTGAGTTCTCTCTTGTTTCTGCCTGAAAGGATTAAAATTGGTTCATCCATCTGGACTCCCAAAGATGAGATCTAGCCCCCTTCTTGGGGCAGCTTGGACTGCTGGAGCTAGATGGTGATTCAGAGAGCAGCTGGGGGTACAGGGGCTGGATTTAGACAGCTCATAATAAATTCAGACCCAACACTCATACATATTTAGAGTCTTCCACTAACCCCAGTGCAAACCTGTCAGCCTGCTCCCCTTGACCTTTACATAGACCCTGTGTACAGCTTTGTCCTTTCTGGAAAAATACAGTATTTGTGGTGATAATGGAGACTCAAGGGGTCTAACGTGAAGTTAAAAGGAGCCCGTCCTGTACCATGCTGCTGTGACAAGAGTCTGGATGGGGATGACCTTGCCTTTCTTGTGCTTCCTTAGGTCAGTAAAGCCATTGAAAGTGGAGCCTGAAGGCTCTAAGGAAGGAGCACGTGCCATGTCCTCCTGGGTTAATGAGTTGCGCACATTTACCTGCAGCTGAATGGGAGTACCAAGTGCATTTAGTGCTACATCCTCCTGAGCTCCATCACTGTCTCGGGCTGAAAGCCAAAGGAGGGAAGGGCTGGGTTAGTGTTGGAGAGTCATGGGGACTATGAGAAGGCTCAGTGGCTTGCAAAGAGGCTCCTGATCCTTTGAAAGGACTATTGGGTTGAGGCTATTGTTGAAAAACAAAAACAAAAACAAAAACAAAAACAAAAACAAAAAATGGATGATTCATGTCTTTAATCCTAGCACTCAGGAGGCAGAGGCAGGCAGATCTCTGTACTGAGGTCAACCTGGTCTACACAGGGAGTTCCAGGCCAGCAAGGGCTACATAGTGAGACCTTGTCTCAAAAAACAAACAAAAAGATCATTCATTCATTCATTCATTCAACTGGTATTTTGAGACAGGGTGCCCTGAAGCCCAGGCTGTCTTCAAACTCACTATATAGCTGAGACTGTCCTTTAATTTCTGGTACTCCTCCCTTTACTTCTTAAATGCTGGGATTATAAGTGTGAGCCACCACACCTGGCACTGAAAACAGCAATGTAGAAAAATGTTTCTAAAATTTAAGAGAAAGGTTGTATATAGGTAGTGCACGTGTGTTCAGGAGAAGCACATGGGTATGTAGTTGCTACAAGGGCTGAAGACATTATCATTTTCTAGAAAAAGAGCTCAGAATGCTTGCTTTTTGGTGTTAATGGTATAACATCAGGTTTCATATTGTCTTGACAGTCCCTTTAAGCTCAATGCTTCATAGCTTGGATTTATTTTTATTGTTGTTGTTGTTGTTATCTGAGAGGTATCTCATTCTGTAGCTCAGGTTGGCCTAGAACTCTTGATGTAACTGAGACTGGCCTCAAACTTGTGGTGATCTCCTGAGTGTGGGGATTATAGGAGTGTGCCATCACCCCTGGCTCAATTGGATTCAATGTGAAAACTGGACATAATAAAAATATTCCAAGGGCTGGAGGGATGGCTCAGTAGTTAAGGGCACTGGCTGCCCTTGCAGAGGACCTGGGTTTGACTCCCAGCACCCACATGGTAGTTAACAACCATTGATAACCCCAGTTCCAGGGGATCTGATGCCCTCTTTTGGCCCCTGTGGATATTGCACACACATGGTGCACTTACACACATGCAGGCAAAACAGTTATACACATAAAAAATATTCTTAGAGTTAGTTTATGCAACATTGAAAAGACCTGGGTTTGATTACACACACACACACACACACCCACACACACACACACACACACATACACAGAGAATTCCCTAGAAAAAATATATTATCACAGAATAACCACACAGACAGTTTGTTTGATATCCATGTCCTCAGCAGGCAACAATCTCTATGAAGGCAGAAGCTGCTTCTAAGGCCCGGCCCCTGCTCCATACATAGTGTGTTTTGGTGGTCACAGACAGCTGTGTCCCTCGTGGCTGCAGGGATGGGTGGATGGACCCTGGTGAAGGTCAGCTTGGGTCCCTCCTCTGTGTTCCCTAGCTCCCTTTTCTTTGCTGTGTGCCATGCCTCTTTGCTGAGTTCCTTGACCTTCTACTCATTTTGCTTCCTGATGGAAATAAAAGAAAAACCAGCAAGTCCATTTGAGAGGGTTTTGAGGATGCAAGCAGCTAATGCTTGTACAAGGCCCTCGGATTGGGGTAGAGAGAAAACAGTACACGAGCTCTGCTTTGCATATTATTATTAGTGGTGGTGTAGTTCTAACTGACCTTGACAGCTTCCTCTGACTGGCTTTTTCTTAGAGGGGCTATGATGTGTTGTGATGGAGGAAATGTTTGTCTTTCCTTCATGGGGGGGGTAGACTGAATCCTTGCTTTAACTTTTGTGGCATAATAAGACTCCTTGTATTCAGTGCCTTGACAACTAATTTTGTCTAACACTCCCATCAGACAAGAGCAGAAATGAGAAAAACCCAGTTCTCCCATTTATAGTTACTGTTTTTGAATTTACCAAAAAAAAAAAAAATGCTGCTTCTCTCTCTAAACCCTACAACCACCTCATGTAGGAAATCTGAGTTGAGTGCGACCTGACACATACATATAGAGGAAGTAGGGAGCTGCATTATAACAAAGGCTCAGGCTCCTAGGGGCCCAGGACCTTGCTGGTAAGAGGCCAATCTGTTGAGTGGAGAGATGGCTCAGCAGTTAAGAGCACTGATTGCTCTTACAGAGCATGGTGGCTAACAACCATCCATAACTCCAGTTCCAGGGGATCCCATACCCTCTTCTGATCTCCTTGGGCATTGCATGACATGGGTATACTTACATACATATAGGCAATACACTCATACACATAAAAATAAAAATAATAAATAAAAATAAAAATAATAAATATTTTTTTTAAAAAAGAAGCCAATTGGCTTCAAAGCTAGAGGTGCCCCCGCCCCCGCAGTCATGTAATGCTTACTGTGTGATCTTTGCTTCCCTGCTTTATTCTAACTCCCATAATCTTTAAAAAATAAATTTATGGGGCTGGTTGTTCTTGCAGAAGACCCGGGTTCAAATCCCAGCACCCACATGGCAGCTAACAACTGTCCATAACTCCAGTCCCAGGGGATCCGACAGCCTCTTCTGTCCTCCACGGGCATTGCACATAATACACTCATACACATAAAATAAAAACAATAAATAAAAATTTAAAAATAAATAAATGTATTTGTTTAGTGTAGGGTTGCTTTTTCTTTTCTCTTTTTGCGGTGCTGGGAATTGAATCTAAGTCTTCCTGCATGCTAGGCAAACACTCTCCTATAGCGCCTGTTCTCCCCAGCACCTTTTCTATTCTTATTTTTCATTTGTTTGTTTATTTAGTGTGTGTGTGTGTGTGTGTGTGTGTGTGTATGTGTGTGTCTGTGCACATGTGTATACCATCATGTGAGTTTAGAGGGAGGTAAGAGGATAACTTGCAGGAATTGATTCTCTGTTTCCTGAGTTCTGGGGGTTGAACTCAGGTCATCATGCTTGGTGGCAAGCACTTTTAGCTGCTGAGCCATCTCACCAGGCCCTAAAATTTATTTCAACTAATAAATGTTGTTCTTAAATGTTTCTTCAGGGCGAAAGTATTCAAAATCCTTTCTCCTATATTAAAAAATGGCAGATAGCACACAGTACACGAACACACAGTGCAATAGCACATCAGAACTTCTTTCTCCCGTCTACTTAGCGCCCATTCACTGACCTCTGCCCATCTGCCCTTCTCTACTGGGTCCCCAAGCTTTCAGAAACCACTGCTCAACTCTCAACTGCTGCAAAATCAACTTATTTTTTGTTCTATTTATTTCTAATTATTTACTTACTATTTTATGTGTCTGAGTGTTTTGCCCGAATGTATGTAAGTGTACCATGTGTACATAATTCCCACAAAGGCCAGAAGAGGACATTGGATCCCTTGGCACTAGAGTTACGAATGGTTGTTAACCATCATGTAGGTGCTAGGAACTGAACCCAGGTGCCCTGCAAGAATAGTCAGTGCTATTAACTGCTGAGCCATCTCTCCAGTGAAATCAACTTTTTAGAAGATTCTTTTAACTTCTTAGAGTGACAAGAAAGAAAGGGGGGAAAAAGAGTTTCCTGTAAAAGAATAGGCAAAAAAAAATCAGCCAGGACCATTACCGATGAGTTTCCTTTGGAAAGGTAGATCTACTTTGAAGAAAAAATTGGAGACAGAGAGATGGTTCAGCAGGTGAGGACACTTGCCACTCAAGTTAGACAACCTAAATTCAATCCCTGGATCCCACAGCAGAAGGAGAGAACTGACTTCTGAAAGTTGTCCTCTGACCTCGACATGCCCTCTGTGGCACTATCGCATCCATACATACACACACACACACACACACACACACACAAATAAATACATAAATAACCAGCAAAATGAAGAAAAAATAGTAGAACATATCAAAAAGTACCATATCAGGCAAAAGTTGGTATTTGGTAGGGAAGCTCAAAGGCGCTAATGTTTTCAGGAATGTTTTTCTCTTGGCTAGCCTCATTTTATACTTATTGACCTTTCTTTCTTTCTTTCTTTCTTTCTTTCTTTCTTTCTTTCTTTTCTTTTTTTTTTTTTTTTTTTTTTTTTCTTTTTTTTTTTTTTTTTTTTTGACATGGTATCTCTGTAGGTCCAGCTGGCCTGGAACTCAATATGTAGACCAGGCTGGCTTTGACTTCACAGATATCTGCCTCCCCCCCAAGTGTTGGCATTAAAGGCTTATTGAGTCATTTTTATATTATTTCCATAGTATAAAAGAGTAATTGGTTATCTTTGTCCTAAAATCTCAAAAATAATCATAGTAGGCGTCTGTATATACATTCAAGCACTGTACAGAAAAATGGCCGCGGTATTGCTGTTCTTTTGAATATAGGTGGGTTTTGCTTTTAGCAATCTTGAGATGAACAATATTCCATTTAATCTGTAACACAAAGCAGGTAATAATTAGAGGAGGACCTGCCCCCCAAAGAGCTATAGCAGATAGTCTACTATATTGATGACTTCTGCAAAGTCTCATTGGAAAGAGCAACTGATTTAGTTAAATAATACATCCATTTATTTTGGACATTAGCTATAACAAACTGAGGAGTGTGATTATTCCAAAATTCACCAACTTCAATTATAAAACAGGATAACTCATCAAATAATTGAATTAAGGAGGAGTATGTTAAAATACCATTATCCCAGATACATGTAAATGAGTTAATTAAGCACTAACATAATTTTGAAATGACTTCTTCACTTTTATTTTAGACTTTACTTAATGACTACATGTAAAATTCTTTGTGCTATTTTTTAAAAAAGATTTATTTATTTTAATTTATGTGTATGTGTGTCTCTTTGTGGGTATATACATGTGCGTGTGTGCCCTTGGAGGCCAGAAGAGGATGTCAGATCCCCTAGAGCTGGAGTTATAGATGGTTATGAACCACCTGATGTGGGTGCTGGGAACCAAACTTGAGTCCTCTGGAAGAGTAGCAAGTACTCTTATCTGCTGAACCATCCCTCCATCCCTGTTGTAGAACGTATTCTTGGGTATTTTTATGATAAAATTTCCAGTGCTTAAAGATACGTTGAGTCTGTCAGAGTAATTGAATGCTGTGGGAGCATATAGGTAGATTAGTGCCTCAAGATTCTAGTGAAGCTGCGTGCAGTGTTTATGAGTAAAACCCCAGCACTTGGGAGCTAGAAGCAGGAAAGTCAGGAGTTCAAGGCTAGCTTGTTTTACATGAGACCCTGTCTTAAGAAACAAAACAGGGACTGAGGAGATGGCTCAGCAGTTAGGAGCACTGGCTGCTCTTGAGAGGACCTGGGTTCAGTTCTCAGCACCCACATGGCAGATAACAACCATCTGTAACTCTAGTTCTAGGGGATCTGATGCCCTCTTCTGACCTATGTGGGTACTGCATGACATGGGTGCAACTTACATACATGTAGCCAATACACTCATATACATAAAAATGATAAAATATTTTTTAAAAAGAAACAAAGCAAACAGAAAGAGAGTCTGGTGAAGAGCAACTGGTTTGAAAAGTTCCATCGATATGTAGTCCTGTGTATGTGTATGTGTGTATGTGTGTGTGCGTGTGTGTGTTCATATATGTGTCAGTGCATGTGTGTATATGTCTGTGGAGGCCAGAGATCAAGCATGGGTATTGTCCTTTAGGCACAATCCATCATGACTTTTTTTTTTCATGTGTCTGGTATGTGTGTGTATGCATGTTGGTGTGTTTGAGTGTGCGTGCATGTGTGGAAGCTAGAAGCTGACGCTGGATCACTTGCCACTTTATATATTGAGGTGGGGACTCTCGCTGAACCTGGAGTGGCCGATTTGGCTAGTCCAGCTAGTCAGCTTGCTCTGGGGACTCCCCTGTGTAAACCTCCTGCTAGTTGAGATAACAGACAGGGTGCCACGCCTGCCTGGCATTCAGGTAGGTGCTGGGGACCCGAACGAAGCTCCTCATGCATGTGGGGCAAGCTCTTTACCCACTGAGCAATCTCCCCAGTCCTGACCACCATGTTTTTGAGATGAGGTCTCTCACTGGCCTGGGGCTCACTGATTTGGCTAGGTTTGCTGGCCAGTGAGCTCTGGGGAATCTTCCTCTCTTGGCCTCCCCAACACTGGGATTACATGTTTGTGTCACACATCTGGCTTTTAAAATTTGAATTCTGAGCATGAAACTCAGGTCTCTGTGTTTACACAGCAACCCTTTCACTATCTGAGCTATCTCTGCAGCCCAATATACAGCTTTGGAACACATTTAAACCAATAAATACAGCCATTTGTGTTAGGCCCTGTAGCGAAATGCCTGATTGCATTTGCATCCAGATGTTTTCATAGGTTGAATTAAGTCCATAAGCTACTTCAAAGAGATTTAAAAAACTCAGTCTTCCCAAAGGCATCCAGGAAGTAGAGTCCTTAATCCCCATTGCTGATCTGTTTTAGTAAAGTGTTTACCATCGCTTGTTTTCCTACCTAATACCAGTCTCTCACGCCTTGGCTCAGGTTCCTTTCCACCCATTTTTAGCTGGAGAAGGGAAACAGCAGGACAGTCACTTCTTGGAGTCTTCAGACTTGTGAAATTCTCTGCTAATCACCACCTGACTTACTTTTCTTTCAGCTGTGTAATTCTGGCTGCATAAATCCAGCAGGAAATCAAACAATTATGTGACTGAGCCAGGCAGCAAACAGAATTAGTCAGAAGAGTCAGAGGGCAATTGCATGTCTCATGGACCTGAACAAAATGCTATGTTTTAGTACAGGACTGAGAGAGACAGAGCTCGGATCTGCTATGAGAAAGGCATGTAAAACTTAGGAACTACCATCTCTGTTTTATTGTCTTAACCTTTCCTCATAGGTCTGATGCTAAAACTCTAATCATTGCTGTGGTTTTCCACGGAGCCTCTCCGAGTGCCCCACACTTCTTATTAGTGGATCCCAGACCTGGATCCACTGGAGACTGATGGATGCCAATTTCAAGACTATGCCTCTTCTTGCCATCCACACATCTGTTTATGTAGGACTGTGATGGTTAAACTCAACAAACAAGATCAAAGGCAGCAGATTCTCTACTTTCCCTTTGGAACTTTCTTTTTTAAAAAATTTTATTGAACTTTTGTGTATTTCATATATAAAATCATCTTTATACCCCTTCCCCCTTCCCCTTTGGCACCTCCCATTGTCCTCCCACTGGATTTCATACATTCTGTCATTTGTATTAAGGCCTATTATGTAAAGTTTTCCTTTGGAACTTTCTAAGGCATTGGCTCTTACCTATTTTGCTTATTTTTGGGGGGGGGGCGGTTCTCGGAGCTGAGGACCAAACCCAGGGCCTCGCACTTACTAGGCAAGCACCCAACCACTGAGCTAAATCCCCAACCCCGGCTGTCTATGTTTTTAAAAATATTTTATTTATTATTTTTATTTTACTTTATGTGTATGAGTGTACTGTCTGCATGCATGTAAGTGCACCTGTGTTGTGCAGTGCCACTGGAGGTCAGAAGAGGGTGCTGAATCCCCTGGAACTGGAGTTACAGATGGTTGTTAGCTGCCATGTGGGTGCTGGGGATCAAACCCAGGTGCTCTGCAAAAGCAGTCAGTGCTCTTAACCCCTGAGCCATCTCTCCAGCACTGTCTATGTTTTTTCAGCTAGGTATAATCCTATCCTCTCTATTAAGCTTAATTTATTCATTTAGTTTTTTTGATATGTGCACATTTTCCAGGTGATCTAAGTTCTGATTCTGTTTTCTGATCTGAAGTTTCTGGTGACTCTGCCCAGTCTTGGAGAGTATTTGTGTTTTTTATAACACTATAAAATTCTCCCTCCACAAAATATCAAATGACTTTGGCAAGAATCATCATTCGTAGACTATTTCCTGCTCAGAAATGAATTTTTCTAACCTTGATTGGATAGTAGGTAGGAATCAAATCAGGAACCGAATACTCTTTTTTGCAAGTCCTAAGACTTTAACTGAGACTCTCCTTATAACACGTGATTTGTTTTAGAGACAGTCTTACTATATAGCTCATGCTGGTTTGGAATTCATTATGTAGCCCAGGCTAGCCTCAAATTTGTGCTGATTTTCCTGCCTAAGCCTGCCAAGTACTGAGACTATAGGAGTGCTACAACATGTGTGGCAATACTTTAAAAAAGTGTTTTTTTTTTTGCTGTTGTTGTTTGTTTGAGACAGGGATGTATCTTCCCTACAATGTCTGATACACATGCCTACTATTTGGGGGATATGGAATGTTGGTTATTACAAGTGTGTTTTGGGTTATTATGATACCTCAAGGACTTCTTTCTCTCTCGGATTTTGTTTCCTAAGATTATACAATAACAAAAACAAATAACAACTTTTGCCCTATCTTCTGGTAGGAACTATGAAAATTCTTTTCAAGAATTACAGACTCTGCAATTTTTGCCTTAAACCTCTAGGGTCTGATTTGCATCATTCACAAGCAATGCAGTTTTTTTTTTTTTAAAATAAGAAGGAGGTATACAATTTCCAACTCTCGGTCAACTGAACTGAAAAGAATTAATGGATGCATTTATCTGGACAGGATTTAATTTGAATGTGTAATTAGCTAAAGATTACAGCTCAAAAAGTGTGTGCACTTAAAAGGCAAGCTTATATTAATTTTGTTTGAGCCTGGGGAACTTTATGTGTCTTATATAGTATCTAAAATCATCTGTATACATTAGAAGGAAAAATGGGAGAAATCAGTAGTCTATTAAGACACAAAAATTGATGTAAAACTATGGTATTGGGTTATGAATAATAGACCAGATGTTTTATAAAAGGAATTAATGAGTTTTGGTATATTTCCAGATAACCAAAATTAGCTCTTATTTCCCCAAGGTTGCTGGGGACCAAGCAGCTTTGGTGTCATGGAATAATGTCATTTCTTAACAAAACAGAGTCAAGTGGCTTGGTTTTATGAATAGATGAAAATATGATCTTGAAATTATTAAGAAAATGTCACATAAGCAAGTTGCTTTTTGTCTACTAATGATGGTACACTTAAGCCTTTACTTGGAATTTAGACCAAATGGCCTTTCCTGTTGCTTCATGTAACAGACCCTAGAAGGACTTTTAAGCAGTGAACGATTTGCAAAGTAGAAATCCTGAAGTTTCTGAACTCTGTGACTCTCATCAATGGTGAGTTCCACAAATCAAGGTTAAGTCTGAGCAAATTAGTTTTGAGACACAGACTTTAAAAATGCCAATCACTGTTGCTATGATCTACTTTTGTGCTCAACAACTAATGTATCTGAACTTAGCATTGCCTGACCCATGTATAATCTGGGGCTAATTAGCTCATTTTACTTTTATTGTTATTATTTATTATTATTATTATTATTATTATTATTATTCGAGACAAGGTCTACCTGTAGCCCCTGCTGGCCTGGAACTTGAAATGTAGATTGGGCTGACCTTGAACTCACAGCCATCTGCCTTCCTCTCTATCTTCTCAGTACTGGGGTTAAATGTGTATGCCACCATGCTTGGAACTTAGTTTTTGAGACATGGGTTCATGTAGCTCAGGCTGGCCTCAAACTCTATGTCACCCAAGAATGACTTTGAATTCCTATCTTCCACCTCTGGCCATATGCCATCACACTGTCTTAGTTAACTCATTTTAGAGTGGGTACTTTTCTTTGCCCAGCCTAAGCAATCAGAGCCACACCTTTATTTAGAGACTTTAATTCCTTTCTGTCTTTCCTTTCCCTACAAAGCATTATGCTGTGGACAATAGACCTTTTCATAAAAATTCAATCTTGAATCCAGAAGTTCTTATTTCTACGATCCACTTAAAAATTTAATCATAGCTAACCATTCCCTTTTGGCTTTCTCTGGGTTCTTCCTGCTGACCTATTTCCCTCTCTGTCCCAGGCCCCTGGGACATACCTCTGGAGAGCTCCTGGTTCTCCATCCGGAAGCTGCGTTGGTAGGCGGGGACCTGGCAGGCATTGCCTTGAGGAGGACACTCCTGCCTACAGGATCTGTAGAGGATGCACAGCTCAGGAATGATGTACAGAAGCAGGAAAACCCACGCGTTGGTGACCAGACCAATGCAGATGACTGCGTCGTCCCAGTGGGGTTGTCGCTGGAGCTGTGGGTTGCCCCTCATGAGCATGGAGATCCACACAACCCAGATTATGATGGAGACAAGCACAGTGGCGAAGATGAGCCTTCCATGTTGCTTCCAGTTCTCACACGGGCCACAGAAAGTGGCTTTGGAGACAAAGAACGTGAGGGCCATCAGGAAGAGGACATAGATCAGAAGACAGACAAAGTCCACATTGAGCTGATAGGGTGTCATGTGCACGAACATCATGCCTCTGGTCATGATGAGGGTCACATACTCTATGGCAATGATGGTCTGCAACAGGCTGACACCAATAGCAATGAACAGAATTGTTGTCCAGCAGAAGGGGACTCTGCCCCGGACCAGCTTCACTAGGTTGGAGGCATGAGCCAAGAGGCAGGAGAAGCAAACGGCAAAGAGCGTCCCAAAGAGGAAGTAGCGCACAGGGGCTGTTTGCTGGTTGAGTTGGATGATGAAGGCAAAAGCAAGTCCAAAGAGCCCCAGCACACCCAGAAGGAAGAGGAACTGGGTGGGAAGGACATTCCACTGGCTACAATCTTGCACCTTTCGCATGAGGAAGAGAAATGCCAGGAGCAGCAATATTGTAACCACTATGCCAATTGCTGCCAAGGACTCCATAACAATGCCCCATGGCCCCTCATTGTCACAGAAGAGGTAATAGTCTTCAGTGGTCTTCACACAGTCCTCATACATGGTCACTTGTGGATGGACCTCACGGGAATGGTCTGCTGGTCTCCTGTGGAGAAAAGATGAGACCACTTAGGACTTGACTTCCACCCACAAGAATGCGCGTTGGGAGTCCTGTCCCTCATTCCAAATCCAAATGGGCATTTGCTGGAAATGGCTTTAACCAAATAGTCACTGGGACCCTCAGGAGGAACTGAGCTACATATTCTGTGTCTCCTAACACTTGCCTAAATGCCAAGTTTCTAGTGAGATGAAAATTTGATAGATACATATATGGTCAACAGGAGTAGGAAATGCCATCCTATCTATCAACGCCAAATTTATGACTGGTGCATATAGGATGTCAGGAAAGGAAATGAGAAAGCCAACTTAAACCCCTCAAAAATCACATTTGCTCCATCTGTTAACAGCAACAACAAAAACCAGAATGGACTGTACTTGGGGTCCCAGATAATTCATCTATTTCTGTGTCAGAATTTCCAAGGCTTTTGAAGGCAGATGCAGACTCTTACTTTGTCTTTTTGGTTACGAGCCTGAGCCTTTTAACGACTGTGCCAGCTCTCCAGCCCGCAGACTCTTCTTTTATGATTGGTAGGAGTTTAGCTACATCAGGCTCTGGGTCATCAATGTACCCTTGACAGGATTATCCCAAACACTGATGCCCTACTTACAGGAGACAGGCAAGCCATCTCCCCCCCAGTAATTTTAACGACCGCCTCTTCTTTCAGTTTAATTCAAGTCAACCCAATGTAACAGGCTGTTATTAAACACCTGTTATTTGTTCATCAAAGAAGTATACAAAATGGTCCCTTCCTTCAAGTAGCTTTTCAGATCGTTTACTACTAAAGTCCCTGACTTGACTGAGCTAACTTAGGAAAAGAATCCACATATTGATATTGATTTGATGAAATGAAATGCAACAAATAAATAAACAAACAAAAAATACCCCATCGCAATAGAATGCCTCTAGTTCATTCCCCTTTAGGCAGCTCTAATCCCAATGGCAAGAATGGTGGTCCCAATTTATAGCTGACACCAAGGACCTGAATTCCAACTTACCTCCCCTGTGTCCACTCTGGAAGCAGAGGTTGTAGTGGTGGAGAGGCTTTGACTGCAAATGAGTAAGGAAGAGACAACCTCAGCTGCTTTAATCGCTCCTTAAATGGGCGGAAGACCTGCAGGACCTCACTCAGGTTCCAGCAGTGTCTATAAAAAGAACCGGAAGGACAGAAAGACACACCTAGTCCAGTTTCACAGCAACTTTTCTGCACAGATTTCTTTGGTGAGAACAATTATTTTTCATTTTAACTTTCCCTGTCTTTGTCTGTCCATCATGGGTCAGCTCTTTCCCGGACCAGCCATTCTTTGTATCTATTTCCCTGGGCTTTGACTGTAACGTCTCTCTTTCCTTCCTTCCTTCCTTCCTTCCTTCCTTCCTTCCTTCCTTCCTTCCTTCCTTCCTTCCTTCCTTCCTTCCTTCCTTCCTTCCTTCCTTCCTTCCTTCCTTCCTTCCTTCCTTCCTTCCTTCCTTCCTTCCTTCCTTCCTTCCTTCCTTCCTTCCTTCCTTCCTTCCTTCCTTCCTTCCTTCCTTCCTTCCTTCCTTCCTTCCTTCCTTCCTTCCTTCCTTCCTTCCTTCCTTCCTTCCTTCCTTCCTTCCTTCCTTCCTTCCTTCCTTCCTTCCTTCCTTCCTTCCTTCCTTCCTTCCTTCCTTCCTCCCAGCCATCAGAATGCACTTGCTCTGGGTCTCAGTGGAAATAACATATTTCTTTTCTTTTATGATGACATAAACAAAGCACATAGTACTGTGTCCAGTGGACCAAACAGCCCTCTAACGTACTCCTTGGTTCTCCTATTTGCATTTAGAGGGCTTCTGAAGACCCCACATCCTTTAGTTTGCTTTAGAGATACCCTGTGACCTGGCTCTACCTTTCCTATCCAATCCTATTCCATCCAGGTCTTCATGTTGCATGATTGAGACAAGTTGGTTTTCACAGAGTCTCTCAAAAGAATAAGCTCCATCTGCTTACGTCTCTTAGATGCTATCTCTGTTTCCAGCCACCCTTTGCTTTATTTCAACTCATCCTGTTTCTCACTTAAATCCCTTCTCTACCTGGAAAGTCTAGTTCATCTCACCCTGCAGACTCTTCTTGTCTTCCTCAGCCATGCCAGCCCTCAATGAATACATTCAACTATGTACTCTACTTTGGAGTTGATTGTTTAAACCTATTTTATGAGTTAACTTTTCTTTTTCTAGTCTTTTTGAGACAGAGTCTCCCTGTAGTTCCAACTAGTCTGGAACTTACTATTTAGGCTAGGCCTGACCTCAGTCTCACAGAGATCCACCTGCCTCTGCCTGAGTGCTGGAATTAAAGGCCTGCATCACCATGCCTGGCCTTATGAGTTAATTTTTCAATAACTATATTAAGTAATAAACATAAATAAACAAATAATGATGCACAGGAAATGTACTGACTTATTTTAATCTGTATGAGCCTCACATCCTTGATTAGATTTACAGCTATTTGGGAGTTAGAGCCATGTCTCCTGCCCCATGGCCCCTTGGCCCCATATGAAGAACCTCTGAGGTGCACGGTTTGGTGAATTGAAAGAGTCTAATAATAAACTTCCCTTTCATAAGGTATTTCTTCAGTGTGGTTTTCCAGCATATGCTTTTTAATGGAAACTACCTGAAAAGAAGTCAGAAACTTAACAAAGCCTTGACAGGTTCATTCTGAAGTTCTCTCTTTAGACACTCAACTTCAGAAAGGTCCTTTTCTCCTTTGGGAGAAAAATATTCTAGGAAGGAGAGTGCAACCCCTTTGTTTGTTTGGGCATTAGTGTTGCCTGTTACAGACAGTAAGGCCAAAGCCTACAGTTGGGAGAAGAGGGTTTATAGCAGTAAGGAGACTTTGCAGATTGGCTCTGACATCTATGAGAATTCGCTCAGGAGCTCAGAGAGTGGTTAAATCACTGCTGGTAGACACAGGTTTCCCATCCAAGTCTTCCAAGTAAACTGCTCTGCTGACCTCTCCCCCACCTTCCTGCTGGTTAGTCATGATCCCCCTCTTTGTTGTAGGGAGAGGCCTCCTGACCTTGGGATGGCTTGAGGCAGGCAAATTAATGGGTTAATGACCACAAAGCCCTTTGAGCACCTTAGATAAAAGGACCTGGCTCAGGTATTAATTATCACTATTTAAAAACTTAGGGTGATAGAATGAACCCATCTTGTTGCTGGGTCTGGAGGATAGGAGGCTCATTTTGCCAACACACATCCAAATTACTCATACCACATTTCTTTTGGCTTCTATGCACCAAACAGCATCAGAACAAACAGGTGAGATATGGCTTTGATGAATCAAAATACATTGATTACAACAGGTCCATTAAAAATATAGATAAAACAGTCAAGAGTCCAAATGCCGTCTGCCAAACACCTATGTGCATTGTTTGTCTCTCACAGAAATAGCGCTGGGAAGAAATTTGAGTCCTCACTCTAATTCTTATTAGTAGTGAGGAAGCCGACATTGTAACATGGGGGACTTAATAAGGATGCAGAGGCCCAGGCAGATGAAGGCAGAAACCCAAGGCATGGACTGTCAGGGAAGACAGCCAGTGTTGTCTGACTCCTGGTCATGTTCTTGCTAGAACCCAGGCTGCCTTTTTTGACATGTCCCATCACTTAGGGACCTTAGAAAGATGTAAGTCTTTAGATAGGATTTGTGGTCCATGATCAGAAGCAAGAACTAGAATCTGAGAGTGAACCATGTGCTTCTCTTCCCACAGCTGCTCTGACTGGCTGTGTGAGGAGAGGCTGTGATGAGGGACAAAAAAGGACCAAGTGGGCTGGAGAGATGGCTCCGTGCTTAAGAGCACTGGCTACTCTTGCAGAGGACCCAGGTTCAATTCCCAGCACCCACATGGTGGCTAACAAAGGTTCATAACTCCAGTTCTAGGGGGTCTGACTCCCTCTTCTGACTCCCTTGGGCATTGCATGACACAGGTATAACTTACATGCAAGCAATACACTCATACACATAAAATAAAAATAATAAATAAAATATTAAGAAGAGAAAGGACCAATTGTTCTTTTGTTTGTTGGCATCTGCAGGGTTCTCATCATGGGTGTAACCACTGTGCTGTGCTGTACAGGCCCCTACTCGGTGTTGTGCTTGAAGTTCGATGCTCTCTGGTCACCATCTTAAAATTCTTAATGATTTTGTCTTAGAATTTGTGCTTGGTTGGTGAAGTGGAATGGGTCCTGGAGCATGTGTGTGATTCTTTAAGCCATCACTCAAGCACTACCCAGCTCCCCACAGTCTCCTCCACAGGACAGGCTCCTGACTACCTAGCCTATTTCACCACCAGGTGCCTGGGTTACCCCGTGTTTTACTTTGTTCTTCATTGCTGTGACAAAATACTCTGACCACTACCAACTTGGGGAGGAAAGGGTTTATTTAGCTTACATATCCCAGGTCACAGTTCATCCGGGAGCCCAAGGTAGGAACTCAGGGCAGGAACCTGGAGGCAGGAGCTGGAGCACAGGCCATGGAGGAACGCTGCTTACTGGCTTGCTCCTCTGGCCCCTGCTCAGCCTGCTTTCTTATGCAACACAGGCCCACCTGCCCAGGGGTGGCACCACCCACAGTGGGCTGGGCCCTCCCACATCACTCATCAAGAAGATGCCCCTCAGACATGGCCACAGGCCAGTCCAATAGAGAAAATTCCCCAACTGAGGCTCCCTCAACCCAGGTGTGTCAAGCTGACACTAAAGTTATCCAGCACGCCCCATCTCCCCATTTCTGCCCTTGCCTGCAACTGCTGTTTCCTCCCACTGGCCTCACTTTCCTGCATGTATTAGGCCTGTGGCTCTAGGAAAGGAGTGTTGATTTACTTACTCCTGGGCAGAACTCCACATTTTAATTTTTCACCAGGTCTCAGAAACTTTGTAGCTGTCTCTAGAAATCTCATTCGGATATTTGACAAATAATTTGATATTAGTCTATATCAAATTATATCAGTATATATACAGTATACAGTTTAATTGTAAACACTAAGTAGTTGTGTAGTACTTGAGAAACTGGTCTGGATCATCAATTTGTCAACATCAACTGAATCTTACTAATTTATGAATGTCAGAGTATTTTAAAATTTTTATTATTTATTTTTATGTGTATGAATACTTTGCCTGAAGTTATGTAAGTGTGCCACACGTGTGCAATGCCTGTGGAAGTCAGAATCTCTTGGAACTAGAGTTACAGATTATTGCTAGCCTCCATGTGGGTGCTGGGAACTGAGCACTGGTCCTCTGCAAGAGCATCCAGTGACCACTGAGTCATCTCTCTAGCTGCATGAATGTCAGAGTATTTTTTTAAGTTATTAATTTTGGATGCTGGAGAGATGGCTCAGTGGTTTAAAGCTCTTGCAGAGGACCTGAGTTTGATTCCCAGCACCCACAGGGCAGCTAACAACTGTTTACAACTCTAGTTCCAGGGAATCCAATGTCCTCTTCTGGCCTCCATGGGCACTGCACCATGTGGTGCACTTACATACATGTGGGCAAAATACTCATACATGTAAAAATTGTTAATTTAAATTTAATTTTATTTTGATGAAGGGTTTCACTTTGTAGCACAGTCCAGCCTTGAACTCCAGATTCTCCAGCCTCAGTCTCCAAATTCTAGGATTACAGGTACAGGCCACCAGACCTGGTTGTCAGGATTTTAAAAATTTTACTATTTTTATTTTATGTGTATTACTTTGCCTGCATATGTGTAAGTACACACATGTCATGCAATGCCTGAGGAGGTCAGAAGAGGGCATCAGATTCCCCTGGAGCTGGAGTTATGGACAGTTATTAGCCACCAGGTGGGTGCTGGGAATTGAACCTGGGTCCTCTCCAAGAGCAGTCAGTGCTGTTAACCACTGAGCCTTCTCTCAGCCCCAGCATTTTGTTTTTTGAAAAACAAAGTTATTCTAACATTTCCTCCCTAGTTTGTGACTATTACTACTTTTCAAATGAACTAGTTTACAGTTATTCCTACTGAATTGTTTTATTATTAGAAGAAAGCAGATGATGTAAAAAAAAATGCTCTGTCTGGAAGAATGAATCTGACAATATCGAGAAAAATGCTGGGCTCATAAAGATTTTAATTT